ACCTTCCGGATGTTCCGACATTTTGTTACCAAAACGGTTCGTTTTGGTAACCAGCGTAATCGAGTGGATCACCAGTGTAAATAAATGTAAGTGGAGGATGTATTAACAAGAGAAATACGTTATTTAAAGTGTTACGAATGACACTACCTGCTCAGTTCGTGTGCACCTAAAATACCAAGTGAAATCGGCTCCAATAATCAAGATATAAGATGTTATAGAAAGGACGTTCTTCAATCCAAAAGTATATAATTGTTTCTAGTACAAGACTAGTGCAATATGAGCGCTGTAATATCGGGCACCTAGCTACATGTAACTGTGAAACTTTTTTCTTCATTTGTGTTTAAGTAAATATACAAACCCAGTCCCATGAAATGAATCACTCGGAAGGGATGGTGAGCAGTGCATGGCGTTCAATAAGTACTGATAAAAATGTTGAAACTAATATTTTTTTATATTTCTGACTAAGTTTTCTACTGTACATTTTAAGTATTGTACTGATGTACTGTGAGAGTTTATAGGAATATCCTATGGTTTTGAAAAAATATCATTTATATCCATGAGTGGATATTGATATCTTCATGCGTGAGCGCAGCGAATGAGTGAAGATATTTGTATCCATGAGTGGATATAATTGATATTTTTGAAAAAACATGGGATTGTCCGTTTATCCCATGGGAAATCATCATCAGCGAAAAAAGTTGAAAAATATAATTTTAGAAAAAATTTGAAAATATAATTGAAAAAATTGAAATTTTGAAAATCTTTTTAAATATTTTTGAAAATAATTAAAAAATGCAAAAATAATTTTTTTTGAAAAAATTCGAAATCATCGAATATCACTTTTCAAACCATCGAATATCACTTTTTAAGACGTGATATTCGATAGTTTAAAAGTGATATTCGATGGTTTGTGAATTTTATGCTAAAATATGATATCTTGATCCACATATCAAATATATCTTCATGTGATATTCGATCTATATCCTTGCAACCATGGGATAAACAATAATATCCTCTGACAGGAAAGTGGTACTGGCCTGGTGGTGCCGTCGTGGTGGTTCAGGTTTGCACGAAAAAAATCAAAATAATGTGAACATTTTCATACATAATTTTCTATTCTTGAATCTATTTTGACAGTTGGTAAATAAACACTGATAATAATACCTTGGCAATACCTATTGAAATATATTGGCAATGAAACAAATATTGAATGAATTCTTCAGAGAAATTGTACTGTACAGGCCCTGTAGACATGACCGATTAATGTGTTGGTCACACCCACTATGCTATATTGATTTAAAAATGACATTTATGTGTAACAAGTTTATGCGCAAGCAATTGCCTGAGGAGCAATATTCACATTTTAAGTTTGTCATTTTGAAACTTCCACGGTACATCAGTATAATACTCAACAATGAGCACTAGAAAAATTAGTCAGATGTATAAAAAAATCATAAAAAAGCATTTTTTATCAGTACTTATTAAACGCCCCCTGTAAGCATTTCCTTTGGTTTCATGCATTTTTAAAACTCTATTGTCGTCCTTGAATACTGCAGGGTGTCCCGAAAGTATGCCCCCCTAGGCGGACATATACCAATACAATGTCTTCATGGTATGTGTCATATATAATTTTAAAGCTTATCAAAACTTCCATTGATTTGCCAAGTATCATGGTTCTACTCACAAATGATAACAAGTTACAGGCATTTCAAAACTTAGTGTTTGGCCTATATAGAGCATATAGTGCATTACTTCTGGGACAACCCTCGTATTATTTCAATACAATACCGAAGAAGAAGCTGTTTGATTATTTTCATACTTTTTTGATGAACTAAGTTTAATGATATTAGGGCTATTTCATGGCCCGTTTTTATGATTTTTGGTCGGAATAGTTTGTTATTGAGCTCAAATAATAAGTATAGTAATTTCAAGTTGCTTTTGAGTCAGTTAACTGCCATAAAATAACTGTATACTTGATCATAATATTCTATTTTGGTCGGTGTCGTAGGTGGTACCTAAGAAGGGAATTTCATATTTGCCGACTATCATAGTTTTGGGATGTTAAACCTTCATTTGTCTAGCCTATAATTGAATTAGGAAGTTAGAACAATGATTTAACCATGATTTTGTAATATAATATTTCCCCATGAGTTTGTGATTCAATATTTCCAAACTACAAGCTGAATGCTTAACCGGGAAACATATACTGGATAAGTCTGAAAATGCATATGGACAAGCTAACAAACTGTTGGACTTTGATGGTTTTCATGTACTTAAGAATAGGTAAGATAAATCAATATATATGTATAAACTTACATCGATAATGATCTTTATTTAGGTGTCTATATTATGTTAACAACATGCGTGGAAGTAAATGAATTAGTCGCAGTGTGAGTCCATAATATCACTCTAGGCGGGAGACTTATTCAGGTCGTACCCTGTGTACTGTGCACGTATAAAGAATAGTATTTATAACGTCCCAGGGGGTCGTCTCAAAACTGCTACTTGGGGGCGGGCAAGATGTTAAAAACGTATATTCTGTAAAATGGTGAATAACTTGGCCCCCTAGTACTAGAATATTAACTCAGTCGGTGGTTATTTGATCTAAATATAACTTGCATATTGTGTGAAACGAGAAAACAATGAACAAAGTATCTTAATATACGATATAACTACATCGAATAAAGTAATTGAGTAACTAAAATGATATTAACTATGAAAATATATATTCATTCAAATAGATTTTCTGAAAGATAACCTTATCTGTATCAATTCATGATGTCTGCTTCTATTTGGTCGTTGGAAGGACTTTGAGTAGTTTTACCCCCTAGAGTAACATTTTAGTGGGGGGTGCTATATTATCATTTTATAACATCAATAACATAATTGCTGTAAGACTGATTTCAAAATCTATAATACTAATACATAATAAATAATTGTAAATTGTATGCTAAAATAATAAAAAGAAATATTATTTAGTCTTAGAGAACAAGCAAGCGAACAAAAGGAGGAAATCTGCATTTTTTAGTTGATTTGTATTGTTGCAGCTTTACAAAAATATGTCCACAAAAATCAGGATTGTGTTTTAAACATTTTTCTAAACCATATGTGACATTGTATATTAATAGAATGCTTAATAAATAGTTATTAGATACATTTTTGTATTTCTTATATACCCGTGAAGTACCCTTACCCTTGAAAAATCAAAAAATGTGGGCGTGGCATAATGGGACCACTTTATGCTATAATGACTTTTCAAAATCGAATATAACATTGTAATATAATGATTATATTATTATTAGATATACTATTTTGTATTTTTAATATGCCCTACCCCCTGAAAATAAAGGATGTGGTACAATTAGATCATAAATTCTATAATGACTGCCTGCTGATACTGCTGAACAGTGTTCCAAAACTATGTTTAAATTTGATATTGCAGTACAAGATGCAATGGTTAAGAACTATATTTGTATTTAACCTCATACTTTGTAGACTCCGTGTTCGTTTAATTTCTTGGTGCTCCATGTTGACTTAGTTGATGTCTTAGAGCTTAATGACTGCAGGGGACAGGGGGTATATATTCTACAACAATGTTATTTGGACAAGTAAATGTGTCTAGAGTCAATCCTCAAACTATAATCTTTTTGGGGATTAGGCATATCATGTACCAGAGCTACTTGTCAATGGTTCCTAGAAAATTCTAACATAGACCCCCCAATCAATCATCAACATGGGACAATGAACGTCACTCATTTATGCACACAAAGCTGCATAAAATATTCAATTTAATTTAATTTGCAAATGCAAATAATGCAAATGTATATCCTAAAATAACTACTAATATCCTAACTGGGCTTTTAGTCCATCATTTTAGAGAATTTAAGAGCACATTTAATTTTCAATCTTATCCTCCATTTTATGATCCTGACCTCTCTTCACCAAATCTCTAAAATTCTGCATTCTAATTGGTTATAATTAATCTTGGCACTCAGAACTCTGGGAGCTACAGGGTCTTCAGACTTCTCCGAGGGAAATGGTTTTGCCACCAAAATCAAAAATTAGAAAAGTTAAAGTGAACTTTATAAATCTTACATAATAAATTAAAATGCAATTGATTATATTTACAGAACATCTGAAAGTGACCAAAAATAATAAACGAATCAACCAGGGCTGTTACTTATTCAATCTGTAAATATATCTTGCAGCATTTGGCCAAGGTTATACAGTTCTCATAGAAGGTCAACGGGACAGGGCCGTGTTGTCTGGGCAAAATGCTGAGTTGACTTGTCATATTAACACTATTTCATCTCATTCAATAGGTAAATATATCTTGTAGCTTCTGGTCAAGGTGATATCGCCCTCATAGAAGCTCCACAAGGCAGGGCCGTGTTGTGTGGGCAGAATGCTGAGTTGACTTGTCATATATATTGACACTATTTCATCTTATTCAATCTGTAAATATATCTTGTAGCTTCTGGTCAAGGTGATATAGTCCTCATAGAAGGTCCACAAGACAGGGCTTTATCACATGCTCTGTAAAATTCCAGTAATCTGATTGGTTGATTACCGTGTGAGTTTTCCCGTCTCACACGGCCGTCTCACACGTTACTAGAGGCAACCAGTGATGATCAATAGCAACGATGTGACGTCACTGATTATATCACTTCTAGCTAAGGAAAACAATATGACGTCATACTATTTCACAAACAAGTACGAATACAACGGTATGACGTCATATTGTTTCAAAGCGAAATCAAAAATTATAATAGTTACCAGAAGTACTGAACACAATCATAACTGACCAAATCAAAATGCTTCAAAATTCCTAGACATGTGATAAAATCGTCATCACACGTTTCAGCTTATGTGATACAGGAAATATTCCACTCGGGTAACAATGTATCACCACTCAAGCTTCGCTTTCGTGGATGATACAGTATTACCTTTCGTGGAATATTTCCTGTATCACATGCTGAAACGTGTGATAACTGATAGTGTTGTCTGGGCAGAATGCTGAGTTGACTTGTCATATTGACCCTATTGCATCCGGGGCTCATCACCATGTGCAGTGGCTAAGATCGGGATCTACTATATCACGTAATGACAGGGTAACTCGATATGGTGTGCGAAACAGGTTCTTTATAAGTACAAAGAAACCATACAACCTTGGTCTTCGGAACGCTGACTTGTATGATGCTGGAAAGTACACTTGTAATGATGCACTAAAGGGGGTAGCTATAGGTGACCTAGAGCCTCATTTGGTTGTACTTAGTAAGTTGCTGTTTTATACACGTTGCAATAAAATCCATTGAACATTAGATTCACATGCAACATTGAGCAAACGTTTATGGTATTTGTTGCATTCTGCATTGTTTATGAAATGATCCCCACCAAGCCCATATATATCTTTGATATATGAAACTATTATGCTGTGTATACACGGACTATACTGTTATAACACATGCTCAATGGAATAGATTGTACTCTCTATGACACCAAAAAATACATCTTTGACGATAGAAGAATGAAAATGCCTTATGGCTCGCACAGCTTCTTTTGTTTACATTCCCAAAAATGGGACAGGGGCCTGCCCCCTTGTTTGGGCCCAGAAAAGAAAATTGGGCCCAAAAACTTTAAAGGAACTTTAAGATCTTATTTTTAATTTTGGGCTAAATTATCGAGAAAATGGGCCCCATATTTTCACATTTTCGGCCCAATTTTTGCCCCCACATGATGGACATTTTAGACTTACACAAATTGTGCTTGCTTATATGGTTCGTGATATCTTGGAAAGTTCGATGCAAGTCCACGTCTATGGGTCGAGTCATGAGAAGATCCATTCCATATTTACGCCTGGACTAACATCAACGTTTTTAAACAGTTGGAATCGTTTGATCGGAGGTAAAAAATCGCACTGGCATTCTTGACATTCTTGGATCGTCTAGATAAAAAATATTCGTCGCCGACACGTGAAATTGGTTTCGTCAATTGGAGTTATAAAACGTCATAGCAAAGTTCGTCATTTTCTACATTTTTGAGAATGCAAACAAAAGAGGTTGGAATTTTCCATTCTAGTGAGAGATGTACTTGATGTCTTTAGAAAGTACACTCTTCCATTTAGCGTGTGCAATACAGTACTTGAACCGCCGTTCAATATTGCTGTGCAACATAACATTAATTTCTATAAGACTTAGGTCACCATTTTTTATAAAATGGTATGTTCTATTCAGCGATCAATGTTAATGTAATCAAAACGACTAATGCGGAGTGATATAAACATCATCGAGTAAATAAACAGCATAATGATAAACCATGACATCTCATTTCTTCTTAACCCCGAGACGCCATGGTATAATGAGCTTAATTTGGCGATCCAGGAGAGCCCAAAATTGAGGATTTTTGAGATCTGTCATCTCAGCTCACATTTCATCTAATACTCCAATACGCGATAAAGTCTAGTTCTAGTTCAGTTTAATTAACTCCCGCTTGGAGATCTCTCATGAAGGGTACATTTTTGTCTACATCCGGGTTCTTCCCCATTGGATTACACAGGGTGCGATTTTCAATGAGGCATTATGGCTTTATTAGACATTTATGTATAGTATAATTGCATTTGCACAAACGATAGATATGTATGTAATGAAGATATACAACAAGGCTTGTTGAACTATAATCCCCAAATCCGAAAAAATCGGTAGTTGAAAATGCCGTCCAATTTCAGTGACGTCACTGATTTCCAGAAATCGCTCAGACGCCATTGAAGATCGAAAGAAATGAAAATAATGTTACTTTGAATCTCCGATTATCTTTCTGATTATTGAATAGATTGGATAATATAACTAGTACGTATTTTTGAGGGCTGATGGAAGATCGGAAGCTGAAAAACTGTCATTTTGTCAAGATTCACGCTAAGCTTAGATTTATCAGAATTTGTTGAACTTTTGTCCGAGTAATCGTCCGCCATTTCGATGCTATACATATGCTATGATGTAATCATCGACCAATGAAATTAGCGGATCGTGACCTTTGACTTTACAATCTCCGGACGTTTCGTTCATAGTAATCGACTCGTTCGGCGGGCCAATAAAAATTTGTCCCTTCCAAAGCAATGCATCATGGGAGATATTTATGTAAATTACCAACTGAACTCTTATTTTAATGACATAAATCAAGAATATTTCTACTCGCATCTTGGATATTGGAGTATTTGGGTCATTAAACTTGTGTACCTGTGCCTGTGCTAATATCTGCTGTTAAATACAATGCCTATTATGTAATGTATTGACATTTAGGTAAATGATTATGATAACTATCACACTTATTGACAGTTATAACTCTTCCCATCTGATGTGCTCAGATCACAGAATATGGCTCATAATATCAGAGCATGTTTCAGGCGAAACAGAAAGATGCTATGAGTATCAGAATGAATAAACAGATATACATCACAATTCTGTTCGATCACATAGATATTAATATATGAGACTAGAGGTAAAAACTATCCATTTCTTCTAAATTACGAAACATGAATTAAAAATGATTGACCTAAATTTAACTAGCCTGAATATAAAAAAAACATTCCATTCTACTACGCTATTTGATGCCCAATACGTATTGTGTGAATGCTTATTCAGAAACACAAATCTTGAAAAGATTATATTTTCAGATCCCGCATCATGCCCTATGTCAGGGACTACGACATTTATTCAGAATGACACCATCACATTTGAGTGGTCTGTCACATATGCAGGGGAGAGAGATGATAGCCAGAAACCCATCATCACTTGGACACTTAATGGTATTGAGCAAACTGCAATAGCAGACGAGACTACACTGGGGGTCTTCAAGTCAACGTTTACTAAAACAGCATCTAGTTATGATAACCAGAAACAACTCAATTGTTCATTTAGTGTACTGAATATCCAACAACATTGTTCCACAAAGCTAAAAATAATAGAATGTAGGTATTCGCATTATGAAATGTGCTATGATGTTTATCTTATGTTATGTTCTGCTCCGTTCCGTTCCGTTTCATTAGTTCAATTCTGTTTTGTAATGTTTCGTTATTGCAAATTATTTCGCTGATATTTGTCAATGATACCATGGATGTTTTAGATATATTGTCAATGATACCATGGATGTTATAGATATATTTGTCAATGATATCATGGATGTTTTAGATATATTGTCAATGATACATGTACCATGGATGTTTTAGATATATTTGTCAATGATACCATTGATGTTTTATATCCAGCACTTAAACCGACCCTTTTTGTCAATGGCAACGCTATTCCAAACTAAGCTATATTACACCACACAGTAGGAACAAATGTACAACTGAAAGGAAAATCATCAGCGAAGCCTATTCCATGGTACAGATGGTGGTTTAGGACAAAAAATAACCCAAACTTTGACATTCTCGATACTATTGATACAATACAACTTAACAACATACAATTCAACCAAGCAGGGATATACAGATGCTGTTCTTATAGTAATTACCAATACGTTGAGAACGGTTGGCAATGCAGTGAATTGACAATCGAAGTTGTTGGTATGTACGAATATTTATACCTTAATTTGTGTTTAGCAACATGCGGAGCATTTTTGACAGTTTTTTACACTGTAAGACTTTATGTGTTATACGTTTGTAATATATTTTGTGCCCAAGAAAAGTCGATTAACTTCAATCTTACAAATTGTGCTTTGACATTTCCACATGATTTTGTGTTTCAATATTTCCACACGAAAAGCTAAATACTAGAAAATTGGAAAATAGTTTGATCAGTAAGAAAATGCACAAAAACGAGTATACAAACTGCTTTGTTTTGATGATTGTAATGTGCTTCAATGTAGGTAGGATAAATGAATAATGTATAAACGTACACAGATAATAATCTTTATCTAGGTTTTTGTATTATGTCTATAGGTGGAAGTAATGCATTAGTAGTAGTGTGAGTCCATGATATTATTTTAGATGACAGGAGCGATGTACGGGATGTATTTAAATCCAGATCGTACCCTGTGTACTGAACACATATAAATAATAATATTTATTCTATTAATATATCTTGTAGCTTTGGGCCAAAGTGATATAGTCCTTATAGGAGGTCCACGGGACAGGGCCGTATTATCTGGGAAGAACGCTGAGTTGACGTGTCACATTGACCGTATTGCATCTGGGGCTCGTCATCTTGTGCAGTGGATAGGTAACTCAATCAGATCAGGATTAAGTAAACCATTATCAGTTAATGATACGGTAATTGCAATTGATATACCAAACAAGTTCTATATAAGTACAGAGAAACCATACAACCTTGGTCTACGGAACATTGATTTGGATGATGCTGGGAAGTACACTTGTAGTGATATACTAAGGGGAAAATCTATAGGGGGCCTGGAGCCTCATTTGGTTGTACTTGGTAAGTTGCTGTCCTATACACTTTGCTGTAAATCTATAAAATCCATTGAACGTTAGTTTCACATGCAACATTGAGCAAATGTTGTGTTGTGTTTTGCATTGTTTATGAAACGATCCCTACCAAGCCCAGATATATGAAAATATCAAGATGTGTACACACAGTCTTGTTTAAATCATTCCGTATAAGTCGATTTGTTTACATAAAACGGGATAAAACTCGGTCTCGGTCTTCATTTCTTAAATACACGAGGCTAGGGGTGCAAACTATGCATTTCCTTTATATTATGAAATTCGTCATACATGAATGATCGACCTGTAATTTAACTAACATGTTGATAAAGAAAATATTCCATTCTACAACGCGTTTCAATGCCCAATAAGTATTGTGTAAATGCTTATTTAGAAAACACAAATATTAAAAAAAGATTATATTTCCAGATCCCACATTATGCCCTATGTCAGGGACTACGACATTTTAAGTCATTATATTTTCAGATCCTGCATCATGTCTTATGTCAGGAACTACGACATTTTAAGTCATTATATTTTCAGATCCTGCATCGTGTCCTATGTCAGGGACTACGATATTTTATCAGAATGATATTATCACATTTGAGTGGTCTGTCACATATGCAGGGGAGAGAGATGATAGCCAGAAACCCACCATCACTTGGACACTTGATGGTATTAAGCTCACCTCACCAGCAGACGAGACGACACCAGGGGTCTTTAAGTCAACGTTTACCCAAAAAGCATATAGTTATCATAACCAGAAACAACTCAATTGTTCATTTAGTGTACTGAATATCCAACAACATTGTTCCACGAAGCTAGATGTTAGACGTAGTAGGTATTCGCAAACAATGTACTGTCGTGTTAATGTTATGTTTTGTTCGGCTCCGCTCCTTTTCGTTCTGTATTGTTTATAGTATATTTTGTATATATTCTGATATCTGTCAATAGTATCATGAATGTTTTAGATCCAGCACTTAAGCCGACCCTATTTGTCAATGGCAAAATTATTCAAGACCAAGCTATTTTACAACGTAAAGTAGGGACAAATGTACAACTTAAAGGAGAATTATTAGCGAAGCCTATGCCATTGTACACATGGTGGTTTAAATCAAAATGCCATCAAGACTTTGACACTGTGGATTATAGAGACACGAAAGAACTTAACGACATACAATTCAACCAAACGGGGATATACAGATGCTGTGTTTCAAATTTTTACTTTGAGGAATGCAGTGAAGTGACGATCGAAGTTGTTGGTATGTACGAATATTCATACTTTAATTTCTGTTTAGCAACATGGAGAACATTTTTGACAATTTTCAACAATAAAACTTCATGTGTAATACTTGCCTTGTAATACATTTTGTCAGCATACAAAGTTATACGTAGTCTAGGAACAGAAACGAAGAAAAATCGATTGACTAAGTCGATCTTGCAAATTCTGCCTTGAAATTTCAGCATTGTATAGTTCCTTTAATGTGAATTTTGTTGTAAAAGTTTAATCATGATAATTTGCATATTGAGTTACAAATTACAATACCTTATAAAACATGCCACATGCTCTCTGTGCACAATTGAATCCGACGAAGTTGTTGATGACCCTCCTTCACACATTTATTTTTGAATGAACACGTTATTTCCAAGAGCAATTCCTACTGGAGCTTACACCCCCCCCCCCTTTTGATGAAGTGTTACAGCGTTCAATGCATTCTGAAGAATGCATGCACTGCCTGGCTGACAAAAAACAAACATGGAATCATTGATGGCTATTGGTTCAAAGATGATTGGGGACGTGCTATTATAGTGAACGAGAACCGTTCTATTGTTCAGAAGCTCTCGCTAAGTCCTGAAGATCACTAGGAATAAGATGAGACAACCAAAGAGAGAGAGACAATGCCTTCAATAAGGTACTACTCCGAAAAAGCTAATGATATGATGGAATGACTCAGGCAATGCTTTGGTTGTCAGTTAATCAGTTTTCGAACGCATACGGGTAGCTTATTCGCCAGATTTCAATCCCCCAGACTTTTAATCTGTGTACATTTTCCAAAGACAACATGTACACTGACAGGCCCCAACACAGTTGCTGATCTCAAGAGGGCAACAACTTCGCAAAGACGTGCCATTATGTTCATCTGTGCAGGAGGGTCATCAACAGCTTTGTTCATCGGATTCAATTGTGCATAGATATGTAAGGGATTGTAATATTTGACTCAGTGAGTGGATTCTCGTCGAACTTTCACAATATATTCACACTGAATAAATTAAATAATTCTCAACGTTCAAGGCAGAATATGCAAGATTGACGGAATTAATCAACTTTTATTAAGTCCTGTTTTGGACACACTGAACATGTATCAATTTGTGACTGTAAGTGATTTTAATTGAGTATGTGAGCATATAACATTTTCATCTAGCAACAACCACGACTCCAGCCACAGCATCATGTAGTTCATTCGTTGGACTAATTTTTGGTTTACTGATTGCCATCGGCGTTATATTACTGTTCTTGCATTCTCCGTCTTCAAGCTGCACAATGAAAACGAACAATTAAAGAAAGCATATTCTCTATTGAAAAAAGATGCAGACAATCGGTAAGAGTAAACAGCTAAAAATATATGCAATTGAATAGAGATGACTCATGAGCATCCTTCGAAACCAATAAGGGGGACCCAAATTTCAGGTCAGAGAAAAAAACTTCCAAGCTTGCGCGGAAAAAATTTTGGGCCCCTAAAATCCAAAAATGGGTCCAAATTTTAACATTTGAGGCAAATTTGGCCTGATAATATAAAATAGGGCCTTAAAAGGCCCAGCAATGACCAAAAGGCCCATTTTGGGGGCTTTTTGGACCCAATTTATTTTTTCTGGGCCCACCTCAGCCCCCCCCCCCCCCCCCAGTTGACATATACAGAAGAAAGTATATGTATGAAATACAGATTAACCCTCTCAAATATTATACTCTCTAAGTGTTATTTTATCCTAGTGGTTAATTTGCCGAATGGTCAAAAGACAAGTCTAGGTTTGGAGAACGAAGTTCATTAGTCTACTGCACGCTTCGCCTGCTTTGGACAATGTTGATATTTTTACATTTTGTAGATTTAAATAACTTCATTTGAATATCTATAATTTAATATGGATGATATTTCTATATTTTTCATAGAAAAATATTAGCGCAGTACACTGATGAACTTCCTTCTCCAAATCGAGACTTGTTTTTTATTGAATCGGTCTACTGCATGTTACGACTGCTTCAGACAATTTTGATAATTTGATCTTGTAGACTTAAATGTGTTCTTTTGAATATTCATTATTTAATTTGGGTGATATTTCTATATTTCTCATAAAAGAATTATTAACCCAAGAGACTTTGTTAAAACCGAGACTTGTCCTTCTATAATTTTCCTAATTTTAATTTTCCTAATGACAAGAAACTTTCCATTGGATAACAGTATGAAGATAATATTTCCGACATTTTACTTTACGAACCTTGCAGCAATTAGGCAATAGGCAAACGATCCGTCACTATAAGTATATAAAAAGTGCCCCCAGAGCATTCATAACCATTATGACATACAATATTGCATTTAGTAAGGGGTTAATTATGGCATAGTGTTCAGGTACATCCTAAATGTTATTGAGGACATCGTGACCTTGTAAAGGTCAAGTCAGTGCATATCTGCAAATCTGTTGCGCAATCATTTTTGTATATTTCCTTCACATGTTATACCAATCGGTGTCCTTGTTTTCATTGTTATTAATTCATTGTTTAGCACTGGTTCGATGGAAGAGGTAAACGTTGTCCCTCAACAAAGCCAAAGTGTCCCATATGAAGAAGTTGATGTCATGCCAAACACACATGCTCAGCATAATAGAGATGATGTAAGCACGCACACTGTAAGTAAAAAACGTCAAATTTAATATTGGAAGCTTTATTTATTAATAACCTACAAAAACAGGACATAGTCTCTGACTCTGTGCTTGATCATGTTCATTTTGGTTTTAGTGTACATTTATATTGCTTTGTAAAATATCGTTCTGCGGTCCTGAATCACCAGGAAACACATTTCATATGACTATTTGTGTGATTTAGCGAAACACATGTGACAACGAATATCCAATGGAAGCAATTGACATCGGAGCCACATTAGGAGCTGGTGAATTTGGAGTTGTAAAACTAGTGAATGTGAATAACAAGGTAAAATCCCCATTTATGGCCGCTGCAAAGATATTGAAGGGTGAGTTTTAAAAATTCTATGTCTCAATATTCTTTATAATTGTGTTTCTGTGTCGATGTTCCGTTGTATATAAATATTTTGAATGTTGATCTAATGGCGATGCATCCCGTTCTAGATAATGCGTCGGATGACGACCACCAGGCTCTCCTCCGTGAATTGGATCTTATGAAGCAGTTACCAAAACATAGCAATACGGCATAGTTAACTTTGGCATATCTTGTTGCAGATAATGCATCTGATGACGACCACCAGGCTCTCCTCCGTGAATTGGATCTTATGAAGCAGTTACCAAAACAAAGCAATACGGCATAGTTAACTTTTGCATATCTTGTTGCAGATAATGCATCTGATGACGACCACCAGGCTCTCCTCCGTGAATTGGATCTTATGAAGCAGTTACCAAAACATAGCAATACGGCATAGTTAACTTTGGCATATCTTGTTGCAGATAATGAATCTGATGACGACCACCAGGCTCTCCTCCGTGAATTGGATCTTATGAAGCAGTTACCAAAACATAGCAATACGGCATAGTTAACTTTGGCATATCTTGTTGCAGATAATGCATCTGATGACGACCACCAGGCTCTCCTCCGTGAATTGGATCTTATGAAGCAGTTACCAATACATCACAATGTGGTACAACTTCTAGGTTACTCGAAATACAATGGTATGATTTTAAGATATGATATATACGTACTGTATATGAATTACTGGTCTTTGTCTATGGTTTTGGAAACATTGTTCGAAGTTGGAAATCTCGTAGAGCAATATTACGATATTATATTGTTGAACAAGGGTTTTATGTTTCATTTTTGTAATGTTTTAACGAAAGTGAATTTTATGTCTCGAGTTATGCAGTAACTTGAAAATACAAAGCAACATATTATCCGAGTCATCTTCCAATTTAATAATTGGATATTAGATAATCGTATTCCCATAATATAATGCCTGCAACCTTTTTTGTACCCCTAAGTCCCCCCCCCCTCGGGGATAAGTTATTACTTGTCTGATTTCAATGGTATTGATATTGTTGTAAATCTTATTCCATTATCTCTTCAGAAAAGTATTGATTTTTAACATTTTGTGACGAATTGTTAATTTTCTTTCAGAAATATGTTTTTAGTGCCAAATATGTTATAATTCCTGAAAGAATGATGTATAATTTTCCAAATAGAACTGAAAAGATAGCTGGTTTCACGAATACCTATTGAAATCAATGTAGGGCATAACTAAATAATCTAAACAATTTCTCAAGTTCAATTTGATTTTGTTTTTAGCAAGAAAACAAAAAAGTAATAGATTGCTTTTCTTGCTTGTATGTTTCAAGTTTCTCTCATCGGAACAAAGCCCGGTTGACAAAACAAAGCCCGGATTCTAAATGACGTCATATTTTGGAAGTTTGTTCTTGCTCGCTTGATTTCACTTGATTCTCTCGATCTACATGTACTTCCAATCAACTTTTTATTTTAATTTCATGGCGGAGAAAACATATTACTTTTTTCCGATACTTAAACATATTAAGTGTAATAATTGATGGGAAACTTTAGAGGAATTACTAGACTAATATATTAGTTTTATTATCATTCGGGATATTGTTTTGTAATTTAGCAGTATTTTAGTCAAAATGACCCAAGAACAACGTTTAGGTCTTCTACCTTATCGTCATATGTAACAATTGATGATTTGTATGGAGCTTGATACATGTAATACTGTAATACGTACCTGTTTGCGGCTCTACTTTTTCTTGCGATTTTTTCACAGAATGGATTTACTTGTTAACATTCATATTTCCTGATGTACTAAACATCTTACAATCAGTGATTTAGTTAGAAAATGGATAAATGCGCGTGCTTTTCTTGGTATTAGTCCAATATAATTTTGAATCAGTCGAATCAGTAAAGTTAGTATCATCAAGTAGGTTTTGAAAAAAACGTGATTTGCAAATATTTATTATTCACTAATTACTTTATCTTTTAAAATTCTTAAGATATAGTCAATAGTGGCTTGATAGTCAATTTGACCCCCCTCTTGCCCCTTCAGGTATATATTATTGTTAGCTTTAATCTTAAATTCCTATTTCACAGACCAAACTATGATACTCGTTGAGTATCTACCCTTGGGAGACCTGCAAAGCTACCTACGAGCCAACAAAGCAAAATACATCAGGTCTGATAAGTTGGACACCAGTAAAGAATTGATACAGTTTGGATATCAGATAGCAAGTGGAATGAATCTAATATCATCTTACAAAGCAAGTGATTTCAGTAATTCGTATATATATTGATCATTTACAATCATGACTATATTTGGATGGATTTCTGGTATTTAAGAATGTATAGCGTAAGAGGTAATATGCACTGATGTTTAGTTTCTTAATTCAGGATATGTACTGTCAAGCACATTTCCATGTGTTCGTCCATTTTCCACTTGCTAATGAGAAATAGTTTCAATAACACAAATAAACCTTAATTTATTTCTAGTTCCTGCATCGTGACCTTGCAGCCAGGAATATCCTATTGAGTGCAAATAAAGTGTGCAAAATCTCCGACTTTGGTCTCTCACGGGATGTTGGAGAAAGAGATTTGTACAGCAGAACGTCACAAGTAATACCTTTTTGGATTCAATCATTAGCTCATTTTTATGGTGTCTTCGAGATTTGGTGATTTGGTCTCATTTAATTGGTATTTTACATGTGTTCATACACACTTCATACACAGAAAACATGAAACGCAACACTCGATTATACGTACCTCCCGTACCTAGCCCCTGGAAATGTATAAGCTACTCTGTTTGTCTAATTGTATTTTTAAGTATATTTTTGAAAGTACCTAATTAACATCTAACAGTCATCCGATAAACCATTAATAAGGAACAACGAATAAAAACAAATAACACAATCATAACTAATAAGCCAAATGGGTTGCTCATGAACCTCAAATACAAGGTATA